CAGAACCCAAAAACAGTGAAAGTTGCAGTGATGGGCAGATTCGGGTGTATTAACAAGATTCAGTGACTCCAGATAATCTGAGAACTGAAAATAGTGACAATAATATGAATGATGCAGAAAAATTTCAGACCATAAAACGCCACAGTTCAAATGGGCAAACAAACCCGACGAAGTGGCCCAACTGCAGTTTGAGTTGGGCTGAGGGGGGCTCCGGCCCCCTAGTGAAGATGGATGGATGCTCCCATGAGAAACACAAGCTGGGTCCAGAATCAACAGGCCGAAACAGAAACAGACAAATCGCAGCAAATAACAGAACGAGCTGCCAGAAAATCCTCCTGAAGTGAAAGGCATGATCCTAACTCATTTCAGGTCAACAGGGGCCAACAGTGTGATCCGGAATAAAATTATTTATTATCCAGGTAAGTTTGGATGGAGGCCTGAGCAACTCCGATACAAACTCCGAACTTCTCTCGAGCACCACGCAGCCCTGCTCCTTCACGCTGCTCCTTCACGCTGCTCCTCCGCTTCTCTGCACGACACCTCCGCACCCGACAGCACGAGAGGCACCCCCGGTGAAAAACAAGACTGACCGGAGAGGCTGAAGTCGACAATGGTCCGGTCCAGTTCTGCTCCAGTCTGGCTCCGGTACTCCACAGCACGAGAGACGAAGAGGCTGAAGATGTCCCTGGCCCGGTTCTGCTCCGGTCCGGCGGCCCAGTCCAGCGGCCCGGTCCGACGGCGCTTCAAAGCATCGGAGCGTCTCCTCCAGGTGAACACAGCGATTCCACGGAGGTGGACAGTCCTTCGGTAAAAGTAACGGGCTGCTCACTGAAGCTGAGACCGGCTCTGATGAAGACAAAGTCCCCCACAGCCACCTCGGTTTGGTTCTGATCTAGTTCGAGGGTCACAGGTACACTTCCCCCACACCTATGAAGACACCACGAGGGCCAGTCCAGCAGAAAACCAGCGAAATACCACCTGGCGATTTTTGTCGGAACCAGGTAGAACCACAAAGGTCCAGATGAGAGATCGTTGACGTCCAGAGAGAGAGAGAGAAAAAACACCGGACCTTCGTGCGACGACTCCCCACCTCGCGGGGTCATCTGGCTGGCAGGGTGCGCTCAGAGTGATCGGTGGGGTGGGAAAGGCCGGTCCTGGACCAAAAAATATATTTTCGGACGGTCCCGTCCGGCTCTCTGAGTCCCTGAACACCGAATTCGGTTGGAAGGGGGACCAACTTTAGTCAGGTTCGACAAAAAACGGGTCAGTTTGATGATAAAAGACTGCAGAGAAGCCAGAGGGAGCTGCCGTCCATCAGCTCGCCGGAAGTGACGGAAGTGACGTTGGAAGTTCACTCGCCTATGTCGAATTCTGCTATCAAACAGTTCTTCTACAAAGCATACCCATTTGCTTGTTGTAATTATTTGGTTTAAACATGAGTGAAAGAGACTTAAACTGGGTTCCAGCTACATCTTACAGGTGCACAACTGAAACGTTATTAAA